TATGAGAAGAGCCTTGGAAAGAATATGAATTGCCCAAGGAAAGTCAGTGAAGAGAAACAACTGAAGAATGAATCCTGTTATTGCCCCCATTTCTGAGTTAGGTTGAGGTTGAAACCTAAATCAGAGAATGTTTGAAACAAGCTCTTATTCTGGGGAGGTCCTAGATCAATACAAACTATGATCATTGCTGAGATTTACTTCTGTCTCCTGGGAATCTCTCAGGCCTGACCTTTCTGGACCAGAGCAAAGCATTTTATATTTTTAGAGTCTCAGCCCATACTTTGGTTCATCCCCAAAACTTTGTTTTTGGATCTTTACCATTATTATTTGCTTCAAAATACATTACTGAGTTCAATAACATGTAAGACTTTCAGACAAAAATTAAACTTAAGAAACTTTCTGTTTTTTTTACATTTTTTCAGTGCTGAGACCCAGACCCAGGTCTTTGCATACTGGGCAAGTGCTTTACTAGTGAACTACATACCCAGCTCAAGAAGCATATTTTACTATTGTATTCATCATAAAGTATGATTTTTGAAGCAGGGCTTTCTAATTGTCTCAGTGCTTGAGATTAAGGATCAACAAACTTCTGTAAAGGACCAAAGAGGAAATATTATATAGGCCTTGCAAATCATCAATAAAATCTCTGCCACTGCAGCATGAAAGCAGCCAAAGACAGGATGCAAACAAAAGGGCATGATTACATCCCCAATTAAATATATTTGTGAAAACACATGAAAGGGGGCTGGGGATGTGGCTCAAGTGGTAGTGCGTTTGCCTGGCATGTGTGGGATGCTGGGTTTGATCCTCGGCACCACATAAAAATTAAAAAAAAAAATTAAGATGTTGTGTCCACTGAAAACTGAAAAAAAATATTAAAAAATTCTCTCTCTCTCTTTAAAAGGAAAAAAAAAAGATGACAAGCCAGATTTGGCCTGTGGGTTGTAATTTGCCATTGGCATTGTTGGTTCTGCATTGTTGTCTCCATGTGTGCTTTTTTTGGTGCTATAGCAGCCTGCTCAAGGTTCCCTCTGCCTCCTGCCTCTCCAATCCATAAAAAGCTTAGTCAGTTTCCCTCCCCCCCCTTTTTTTTGAGAGAGAGAGAGAGAGAGAGAGAGAGAGAGAGAGAGAGAGAGAGAGAGAGAGAGAGAGAGAATTTTTTAGTATTTATTTCTTAGTTTTTCGGCGGACACAACATCTTTGTTTGTATGTGGTGCTGAGGATCGAACCCAGGCCGCATGCATGCCAGGCGAGCGCACCGCTACCGCTTGAGCCACATTCCCAGCCCCTTAGTCAGTTTTTATTATCAACTGATCACACTCATTTCTGCCTTTGCCCTTTTACTTTCACACTTCACTTATACAAATCCTAGCTTCAAGGTCAAGGTTAGAATCATGTTTTTTCAAGGCTTTTCTTAACTCTCTGTGCCTTTATGATCAGCTTTTTCTCTTATCTTCACCACTATTCCTTTTATTTACCTACATGCTATCTTGTATATGAATTTATGTTTTTATGTGCACATTCTGTCTCCAGCTATACCATAGCCCTTAAGGACTTGACCACACCTTATGCCTTTCTATTCCCTGTCACTTAACCAAGTCCTAGAACAGAGCAGACAGAAACTGACCAGTCTTTTTTGCCTTATAAAGAACAGCAATCATTCCTTAAGACATCCACGTGCAAGAGACTGACCATTTTGTGATGGGTTCACTTGATGCTTTGACTAATATCCCTTGTGGCTTTGAATCTTACATGTTTTTTTTTCCCCCTCCAACCTTTTTTTCCTTGATCTTCTCCTTCCTGATCATCTTTTCCCTAATCTTCTCCTTCCTGATCTTCTCCTTCATCTCATTTTCTCTGAATCACCTCTTTAAAAATCCCCTGTTCATTCTGATGGGTAGAATCACAGCCTTTGGGACAGGAGTCGGCAACAATTTGACCCCAGACTACCTTGTTGGACATTTCTAGAATCAGACACATATAGACAGGCATGGTAGTGACAGATTCAATCTCCAGTACTGATGGGGGGATGGGGGAAAGGAAAGAAAAAAAAAAGGAAGGAGGGAGGGAGAGAGAGAAATCAGATAAGTGGAAAGAAATCAAAGGAGTGGGCAGCTGTAGGTCTCTGAGAAAAACATAGCTTTACCCACTGATGCTAAAAAATGCTTCATGGTAATATATTAAAAAAAAAAACATTTATTCTTTAGTTGTAGTTGGATACAATACCTTTATTTTATTTACTTTTATGTGGTGCTGAGGATCGAACCCAGGGCATTATACATGGTAGGCGAGAGCTCTACCGCTGAGACACAACCCCAGACCTAGGGTAATATTTTTGTTAGATCAAATGGTAGCTTTTCTGCATTTTCCTCATGAATAATCCTATGCATATTTTTAACCTGAATTACTATCTCTAATGTTTAATCTTTTTGTTGTTCCTGTCATAGGACTTTGGCGGGTTGGGGAAGGGGAAAGATAGAAAATAAAAAAAGATACTCAGAGAAATTTCTCTGAGATTTATCAGTTCATTATATGTGTTAATATTGTGTCCTTACTGATGAAAATATTGCAGTTCCATTTCAATAGTCGTTGGTATGTGAAGAGACTTAATCTGATAAAATATTTATAAACAAAAATGTTAAAGCTTTTTTGTGATATTTAAGGGGGATCCTGAACTCAGATTCTACTTGATGGCACTGCCATTAATTTATTTTTTCTAGCTATGTTAGTCTTTGATCTTGGAATTTTATTTTTTAATACCTAGAATTAAGGTTAATATTTTCCTTTCAGTGATTCATTATAAATTACAGAACATTATTACTAGCATATTATTAGTGTATTATACAAGTATAAAATCATGTACTAAATAGAGCACCACTCTTTTAAAATGTATCATGATCAGTTTTATTTAGGAAATTAAAATCTGGATGTATTACAAAATTAAATGATATCTGTTATACGCAGTATACTATGTAGTAGTCAAAGTCAGATAACCTTTGGTTCCTTTTCCAATTCTGCTCCCAACCAGCCTTATAATCCTGGGTTACTTAACCTTGTCAAAATTTTAGTTTTGTCTTTTTTAGAAAATGATTATATAGACCTCATGGAATTTTTTTGAAAATCAAATTAAATAATACAGACGAAGTTAGATCAGCAAAGTGCCTGAACATAGTACACTCTCAAAAAAAATGCTAACATTATTATGTGCAAAACACCAGGTATTGGGTGAAAATATACAGTTCAAAAGCCAGGTGTAGTGGTGCACACCTGCAATAGTAGTGACCTGGGAGCTGAGACAAAAGAATCACAAGTTTAAGACCAACCTGGGCAACTTAGCAAGTGCCTTTCTCAAAATAAAAAATAAAAAGGGATGGGATGGGAATGTAGCTTAGTGGTAGAGCACTCCTGGGTCCAATCTCCAGTACTAAAACAAGAAAATGTACTGTCCTGGGAGCTCATCACTTAACAGACGTCTTAAATACATATTTCAACATATAAATACTTAAAAGATAGCAGAAGAATGAAGTATTTTGGAAGTTCAGAAAGGTGACAATTTGGAGACAGGAAAATATGAAAAAAAATTTTTTTTGGCCATACTGAGGATGGAACCCAGGAGTGCTCTACCACTGAGTTACATCCCATTCCCTTTTATTTTTTTATTTTGAGAAGGGGTCTTGCTAAATTGCCCACGTGGCCTTGAATTTGTGATGCTCCTGCCTTAACCTCTTAAATTACTGGGATTATAGGAGTGTGCCTGTTTGAAAAGGGTTTTAAAGATGGGATAAGAATTAACTGGAAGGAGACTATAAGAAGACAGGAATATGCATGGAAAAGACATCTACATGAAGGATACTGCACAAATAAATATATGCAAGTAGAGGCTTAAGATGAGTTGAAGGGGATGATGCAGAGCGCCTAATATCTGCAGTCTACAGCATGGGGTGAAGAGTCAAGCTTCGTATTAGTAATGGATAGAGATCTGAGTACTAGGGGTATAAGACTGAAGGGTGCTGTACTTGGGGTAGCTTAATTTGAAATCCCTTTTATAGAATATAGTGGGATTTTTTTCTCTTTAGGTGCCTTCTTAGTAGGATATTCCCTGAATATCTTAGACTTGAATGTGACTCACCTCTTTGGATGAGGTAAGCCTGCTGGTCTGGGTCACTTGTTCTTACCCCATGCTGGCTCTGCATTTCCATCAAGGATTGCCTACTGGGATTAAAAGCAACACTATATGTGATGTTGTGTAACTCTGAACCATGACAACACGAAGCAGTCAACAAAAGTATGGGGGAAAAAAAGAGTCAAACTGCAGTTCAAGGTTCATAAAAATCAGAATGTGAGATTAAATTGATTTTTATATAATAATGGCACCAGCATACTATGAGGTAAAAGTAAGATCTTTAAAAATCAACTAGGAAATAACCAAACTATTAATTGATACTATAATGGATTAGAAAATAAGTTACACATTTCTACACTAAGACACCACACAGGTATTAAAACAATGAATTAAATCAGCATGAATCAAAATAGACAGCATTTGAAGTCACAATGTTACATAAAATTACAGAATAATCTCTACACTAATTATTTTGTAATTTAAACAAAGAGTAATAATATTGTTTTAAAATATTATATTGGAGTGTATGTATACACATGTATAATATAGATGGGAAGGCTACCCACTAAACTTTGTTTGTACAAAACAAAGGAAGAGGAGAATAAATGAAGGATATGGAACAAGAGACTTCAACTTTATCTAAAGCTCCCTTTAATAAAAAAAAATTGAAGCAAAAAAAAAAGATACACTAGCAATTGTCAATTCAGGATTGTGTGTATTTTGCTGTGTATTATTTTTTTCCTCTGTATTTTTCTAGAATTTAAAGATGAAATTTTAAAAATCAGGAGAAATTTGGAAGTATTTTCTTTCAAAGCACATTAAAAATTTAAAGTGTAGAGTATATTTCACTCACGACTAGCAGGGTAACATTGGGACACATAAAACATATTTTCATAGCTTTTCTCAAAGCCAAGAACTTGACTGGTTTCCTACAAGTCTTTGTCCAGCTTTGTTAATAAGCCAAGTATAGGAACAAAAGTGTAGGTAGAGTGATTCTAATAGCTCAAATTAGGAAACATCTTTAAGATGACAGGTAACCTCTCCTATAACCCATGCTGTCATATGTTCTACCTTTCTCTTGCTTTACTTTACCTGCCTCCATCTTCAAAAACGTTGTTCTTTTAGCAAAATTGCCAGCTGCAATGCTAGTTGCTCCTTTTCTTCATGAATCTTCTCTCTTGCTGCTCTTTCAGCATGAAAATCAGAACAATAAACCTCCATCTGTTAGAGGAAAAAAGTAAAGAAGTTTCTATTGAGATGAATGTGGATTCCCTGCAGATCACCTGTTTATAAGGTTGAGAGTGCTGCATCCTCAGGTAGGCCTTGTGAATGATAGGTACATATTCCTGCTAGAAACTAGTATAATAATCACAACTTTCCAACTACTTTCAAATAGTAGATATGAACTGTGTGTTCATGTATGCTTAAACAATTAGGACCCTGAAACTGCACTGATATAGGTGGTTTAGGCAATATATGCAACATGAATTCAGTAAAACACGCCCATTTCTTTTTTTAAAAAGATATTCAGAACTAATATAATATAGTAAGTGGCTTATTCACTTTGCTAGATAAACTTAAGAATGCTGCTCTTCAGCTAAATTTAAAATAATAGAAAGATGCGATTTATTGAATTCCAGACACATGTGAAGTCTCCATGTAGGATGTTCATTTCCTATATCAAAAGTCCTGGAATTGGGGCTGGGGTTATGGTTCAGTAGTAGAGCAATTACCTAGCATGTATGAGGCACTGGGTTTGATTCTCAGCACTGCATATAAATAAATAAATAAAATAAAAGTCCATCAACAACTAGTAAAATATTTTTTAAAAAGTCCTGGGATTGTAGAATTGCTATCCTTATTTTATAAACTAGTTTCATAGCTCTTAACCTTGGAGAAAATTGGCCATATCAGTATATGAACCTAGACAAAAGTCCATTTTCCCAAACTACTTCTCTGCCCCTGAGATGGCTCCAATGATTTCCATCTGTTGATATTCATACTCTTCACAAGAAGAAGGAGCAAGCAGAGCACTTAAGATGGCTTTTTACTAAATGGAACCCAGACACCTGGACACATAGAAAAAAATATAAATCCAAATTCTTATCTCACTCTATATTTAAAAGCCAATTTCTGATAGTCTATAGATCTTAATGTAAAAGATAAAACGGAAAAGTGTTTAGAAGACAACAAAAAGAGTATCTTCTTGGCCTTGGAGTAGTGAAAGTTTTTAAATAGGACACAAAAAAGATACTAATTATAAATGGAAAGACTGGTATCTTGGACTACTTTAACGTTAAGAACCTTTCTCATCAAAAGACTCCTTTTTGAGGGCTGTGGCTGTGGCTCAGTGATAGAGTGCTTGCTAAGCATGTGTGAGGCACTGGGTTTGATCCTCAGCACCACCTAAAAATAAATATATAAAATAAAGGTATTGTGTGCCTCTACAACTAAAAATATTTTTTTAAAAAAGACTCTTTTATGAGAGTGAAAAGGCAAAACAATGATAAGGGCTTATATCAGACTATATATGGAATTGATAAAATCAAGAAAAAGCCAGACAGACCTAAAGAAAAAATGAGCAAAGTTGTATCAGGCACATCACAAAAAAGAATATCTAGAAGACCAACAAACATTTGAAAGAGTACTCAAACTCATTAGTCATCAATGAAACACCAAATAAATGTGATACCATTACAAAACCCCAAATCAATAAAAGTAAAATGACTGATAATACAAGCATGGGTAGGACCGTAGAGCAATGGAAACTCTGTGGATGGGAGTGAACATTTCCAAAGTGGTACAACCACTTTTGGAAAACTGTTTACTTACTACACTGAGTAACATGCATAGCCTGTGAACTAGCAATTCCACTCCCAGGTGTGAACCCAACAGAGAATGAGTGCACATGAGAACAGAAATATCTACAGGAATGTCACAGTAGCATTAATTATAATGCCACGAATGAAAATAACCCAATTTCCTATCAGTTTTGGAATATAGATAAATAAAATTCATTTGAGCTGTGCACTCTGCAGACTGGGGGTGTAACTCAGTGGTAAACATTTGCCTAGCATGCGTGAGACCCTGGGTTCAATCCCTAGCAACACACACACACACACACACACACACACACACAC